ATAAATTTATATTACAGTAAAATCCTATGTTATACTATTAGTTTAGTCTAATGGTTTGCTTTTCCAAATTCACACTGCTTTTGGGTTGTTGTTGTTGTTGTTGTTGTTGTTGTTGTTTTTGCTTTTTTAAAACATCTAGGCACTCTGTATTGAAATCCAATGCTTCCTTACATCTTTTTTCTCACTAATTGGCAGTGACAAAAACTGAAATGTCAAACTGATTCTTTTGAAAGCAACTTTTCAGCTTTCCAAGATATTTTAATGACCGAAATATTTTTTTTAAAAAAAGACAGGGATTTATAGCTTTATTGTGGCAAAAAAATCTGCAGTCAAAGATTACTATATATAATGCATGAATTATACCTTTGTGATGGAAGAAAGGAAACAATGAACAACAACAACAACAAAATTCAGACAGCCTAAGATGTATTCAGGCATTAAATTTCCTCAGGGTTAGAATTGCATGAGTACAGAATAGGGATGTGGCTTTGGGCTTCATTGACTATGCTATACTGGGTTGCCCGGCCCGTTATTCTCCATAAATCTGAAGGTTTTCAATGCAATTTAGAATTCAACTCCATCAGGGTTCTTAATCATGCAGGATGTCTATCTATATTACTACATGGAAGGCCAAATGGTAAAAAAGCGAAGCTAAGGCAGAATCAGCCAATGCAGTCACATTTTATTCTATGCATTTCTAATCAAACTTGAATTAGGCTGTAGTCTGGCATTTCCATATGAACACTCAGATTAGTTTTGCACAGGGATGTTACAAATAAGACTGTTGGAGTTCAGAGCCTTTTAGACTCACTACTTACGGTTCATTTTTCTATATGTATGCTTACCCAGAGCATTGAATGATAATATTTAAGACAGAGCCCTCTCTGTGGGCACACATGCCATTGCCCCAGCCTTGCCTCCCCCGTGATCCTCTTCACCAGCAGCCCCCCTGGGGGAGAGTTGCCCCCGAGCATGGCCCACGCGGAGCAGCAAAGCCAAGAACATGGCAGCCAGGCAGCATAGACAAGACTCTGCCCTCATGCCCCATCGCGCACAGTTGATGCTGCGGGGCGCAGACAGAGGGCGTGGCCGCCATGGCACTGCTGGATTGCCTGGGTGATCTGCGGCAGGCCCTGGAGGCGGTGAGTGGCCTTGCAGGCAGGCGGGGTGGGGGTGGGGCAGGGGGTGGAGCGGGGGTAGGGCCAGTTTTTGGTCACTCGGTCTCTAAAAGGTTGGCCATCACTGATTTAAGGCATTGGAGATAAATGACACAGTTAATCTGTTCCTTTTTCTCTACAACTAAACAAATGTTTTGTGCTATTCCATGTTAACTATGCTGGATTATGGCTGAAGAATCACATAAAAGAATCCCTATCTTTGCTCTATCTCAGTATTTTTCAACCTTGGCTACTTTAGGATGCTGTCTGAGCGTTCTGGGAACTGAAGCCTACACATCTTAAAGTCACCAAGGTTGAAAAACACTGCTTTGCCCTAAGGGATTGCAGCCAAAGTCCTCTGGATCCCAATTTCCTAGTTTTCATTCAATATTTTTTGTGTCATAAGATCTTACATCATCTTATTTGTGCGTTTATCTTTGTCAACTGAAGGATCAGTTTCACAGACAAACAGCTAAAAGACATCACACTTCAGGTACCTTAATCATAAATGCTAATTTGACAGCTGCATTAACTTGGAAGTTAATTTGCAACTGTAGATTTTAACACCAAAGCTGAAAATTTGATTCCATCTTTAGCATAAAGAGTATGTTTCCCCCTCCCTCCTGCCACGAAGAAATTATGACAAAGACTCACACAATCCCCCTCCGTGCTTAAAATAGTTAATGGAGTTTTTAACTCCTATCATGTTTACTTTATCCTGACCATCCAACAACTGTGCATCTAACTCCAAAGGTCTCTGAAATCAAAGCCTTATCCAGAGATGGATAAGAAGAAGAGGGAGAACAGGGCTCCTATTCTATTCTGTCTGACCTTCTATTGTCCTTGCTCTCTGAAGCTCTTCTTACTTCTATTATAGGTTCAGGATGCCACTCGACAAACCTGTCATAAAAGACTGTTCCCTGTAAGCCTAACATTTGTGTACGCTTATATCTACAAACTTTGTTCTGCGATAATTAAACCAAGAAAAACTCTGTTCATGGCAACAATTAATTTTAGGCCTATGTAGATTAAACTGAACATATACTGGATTATAAACAGCTGACATCCTTCTGCTGACAAAGGCTTTTTGATCTTACAGCAGCTTCTGATGGTAGCATAGAGAAGGAAATAAATATCGGGATGTGCCTAAATGGTGATCCTTCTATTCTCCATGCAACAATATCCAATTATTCAAACACTGGGAAAACTAAGTTAAGTTGGAGAGGTGACAGGGTGATAACAAATAAATAGATAAAAGCTTTCCCTTCAGGGGATAAAGAATTGTATTCAAGGACACCGGTTGAATACAGCCCAATGTGGCTTATTATTTTAAAGAAACACACAAGCTTTTTTCATCTTTTAAATACCAAATGGAAAACATCTTTCTATCTCTATCTTTCTACCTATCTCCCCTGTATGGTATCCTTCACAGTAAAACCAATCCATGCAAAGCTAACAGTCACCCGCTCCTCATAGACAAATATTTACCTATATATATTTGATCACATCAACTGTTAAAAAAATGTCATGCAACTTCTCTCTAAAAAAGTGTTTCCCAAACTTGACAATTTTAAGGCATGAGGACTTCAACTCCCAGAATTCTACAGCCAGCAACGCTGGCTGTGGACTTCTGGGAGTTGAAGTCCACATGCCTTAAAATTATCACGTTTGGGAAACACTGCTCTAAAAAGTAAAACTGACAATCCTTTGAAGCAAATCATTAGTGGTGTTCTGTCTGGAAAAGAAAGTCAGAATGCTCTAAATCGATCTACATTGCTAAATGACTGAGCACATCCATGACCTTCTTTAAACGTCAAGTACTTATGGATGGTCAAGCCTCAGGATCAAATATTAATTTTGGAGGAAGCTGTAGACTTTCTGTCCAAAATGAGTCTTTCTTCAAATAAGCAGGTCATATATACTTAACAAATATGGATATTTGAAGTTCAAAATAGAAATTTTTGTAAGCTACTGCATATAAATAGGCAGCAAAACCATACACTCGCAGTGATGATGTTGCCTAGTTGGGTAATGAAACGTCTTCAAGCAAACAATCAACTCTAATAAAAAGTAACCATCAACGGGCAATAAGAGTTCAAGGGAGAACAATGCGGGACACTTGCTAGAAGAGTTCAGTTGAAGAAAGAAAGTAGGTACTGACTTTTTAGAAGAATCTATTCTTTTTTTCAATTAGTGTCCCGTGAATGAATAACCAGCCCCATCCTTATACAAATGGAAACACCAAGCAAATGACTGAATAGTTATCATACAGTAAATTTATGAATAGAGCACCACAAAATTCCTCAAACCACTATAAGCCAGGAATCTACCAGCAAATTAAACTGAACTGAAACTTAAACTGAAAAAAGAGTGCAATTTTAATATTTTTAATTAATATAAATCCAGACCATGGCTAATGAACGAAATGGTTACCAAGACTGAGCATGTTCAATGAAGGGCACAGAACTAAAGTGAATTACAAGAGGGACTTAAGTACTTTTCTAAGGTTTGATTCGTTTCCCCAGACCCATAATTCATTTTCAAAACATAAAATGACAGTGTCCTACAAGAATTAGCATTTAATAAAAATCCTAATTTAATACAAATCCTAATTCATGGGCTGTTAAGTATATCCAGAATATCATCTCAAAATGTAAAAATACAGAATTGCCATATATATGGCCCTAGAAGAAGGAACATTATTTTTCTAATGTAATCTTTAAATAGTTAAAATAGTATAATATAATCTCCTGCAAAATTAATACACAACTAAAGGAGAAAAAAATGGTATTTATTTGTATCTCGCCTTTATTATTTTTAGAAATAACTTGAGGCAGCCAATATATCCAACATACTTCTTCCTTCTATTTTCCCCACAATTAACATTTCTGTGAGGTGGGTTGGGCTGAGAGACAGAGACTGGTCCAAACCCACCCAGCTGGATTTCATGGCTAACTTGGGACTTGAACTAAAATAAAGTCTCCTGCTTTCTAGCCTGGTGCCTTAACCATCAGACCAAACTGGCTGAGATTGTGTAGCAAACATTTCAGAACATTTCAGAATTTTTAATTTATTTATACATTATTTTGTTTGTTAATATGTTTGACAGGTCAATCTGGCTACTTTACAAATTAAAACAATTTAATGAAAAATTAAAAATCCTGGAATGTTCTGAAATGTTTGCTACACAATCTCAGCATAACCACCTTCAATGATAGTTGTTCAGAAATGTTCTTTAAGGGAGTAGATGAATGGACGGACGGATGGGTGGATGAATTAATATATTTACAGGCCCTGCACGTCCTGGACCTAAATTATTCCAACTTTTCCCCTCAGGATGTTGCTGCAGGGAATTGCATGCCAAAACAACTAAACACAGACAGTCCCCCCCCCCATGCTATCACTCTGCTAAACACCTAATTCCCACAGCATTGAGTTATACCTAAAGATATCTGAGCATGTAGTAGGACTGTATTATTATTATCCTTTTCATTGTTCCTATTGCTTACTCCTATTATTATCTTATGACTATTACTTTGTTGGTTGATTCCTATGGTTTATAACTGTATCTTTGTTGCTTGTATGTATATTGAGAGGTTATGCAGCGGAGAGACAAATTCCTTGTGTGTCCAATCACACTTGGCAAATATAGAATATTCTATTCTATATTCTATTCTATATTCTATTCTATTTTTTTACATGACTATAAACCATGGAATTTCATATACAACCCAACATTTGTGTCCTGGGCTCTATTTACTAATCTTTGTTTTCAATGAGTCAAAAATATATATTTGGCTTACAATCACACAAAAAGGTACTCAGAAATAAAATACTGTCTACCTTGATAACTTCCATGATTTCCCGTCTTTCTTCACTAGCAAAGAGTAGCTGATTGGTGGCTCCTCGATCATCATGTTTAAAGCCATCCTCTTCCACATAAGGAATGAGCTGCTATAAATGTGGAGGGGGAAAACCTATATTAAGACTTATGGAGAACGTCTGGTAGAATCTGGAGTTATGGTAAGTTATGTCATAGTAAGTCAATTATGGTAAATATGAAATTACAGGAATGTTCCTTTTTCTAATAGCATTTATGTTATATGACCTGTTCTTGGATATTTCAGAAAATTTAAGATGTCTCAAAGCAATAAAAATATACTTTGCCTTTTACCAACTTGCAACTCGCTATAACTTTTTCAACCATATTCAAAAGACATAAGCAGAAAATACATTAAGTTTCACCATCTGGAAATGATGGATACCATATGTAAGCTGATCTGGATCTACTGGCAAATCCTTCAGTGATCTGCAGTACATTAGCTCTCAGTAGTTTTACAGTAAGAGCAATATAATAATTTTCCCTCTCTTTGTTGTGCAATTGAGAAAGCAGGAGAGTATTTCTGCAGAAAGAATTATTCTAAACTCTTGGTTTAATGGACCTCAGCTGAGTGGACTTCAGATATAGTGGACAAAGATTTCATTTGGACTTCATCCAATTTAACAGACAAATGTCTATTAAATTGAGGGTTTGTCTACTAAATTGAAGTTTTAGTGCTAATGGTGCTATTTGCATCAGTTAGGTAATTATGCAAACAATATAAATGGATGTAAATAAGATAAGCTTGAACTTTACAGACATTTGTATTTAATGAAACTCCCCCCCTTCCCCAATGATCCATTGAGTAAAGATTTTACAGTAGTTATTACTAGCATTTGGGTGTATCCATTTTAATCCAGGTTTCACATAAGAATTTTGGGGTTTTAGAGTAAATGAGATCTGGAAACAAATCATTTCCCTTTTCTTCAGGTTTAGATATTTGTGCCTGTCTCCCCTCCCCATTTTACTTACCTCTATTGGAATAGGTTCAAGTCCTGCACAATTTTCATTGCACTTATCGTACACTAATCTCAGTTTCCGAAACAGTATTGAGAGTTGGCGCAGATGTTCTTGCAGCTTTCCTAATCTGTCTTGATATGTGCCCGTATGATAGGTAACACCATTTGGAAGCTGAAATATTCAAATATTTAACAGCAAGAAATCAAATTTCAGCCACCCTTGAGAATATACAATGGCAAAAGAAAACTCATTTTTTTTCAACAAGCATGAACAGTTTTTGACTAAAACTTGATTAGTTTCCAATGCTATCTGAGCTTCATTCGATTTATTTAGAATAAATGTTATCCAATGTCTATACTTTCTTTCACTGAAGCATATAACAAAATAGAAAATAATAATCAAAGATTAAAACACCATCATAAAATTATCTGCCATGCCTACAAAATATGTTTTTGAATACTGATGAGCTTCTTCTGGAAAAGAATTTCATAAAGTCAGAGCTACCTCTGAGAAGAGCCTACTAAGAGCATTTCCCCCTCATTTTAAAAACATGTTTGCAAATATTATGAGAGATCAGAGAAGTCTGATTCGCCAAAGGTAGATTAGAAGTAGACATCTCTTCTAACCGAAGGCGAAGAATTATTGTTTGCCAGTGTTCATTCATCCCTAGCTGAAATCTACCATCTCATGAAACTGCTCCAGAATATTTGGATAAGAACATAAGTAGAAGCCTACTGGATCAGCCTACTTAACCCAGCCCTCTGTGTCCAAAATGGGCTGAAAAGCCGCTTTGTAGGGGAGATGGGCAGCACAACAATAAATAAATAAATAAATAAATAAATAAATAAATAAATAAATAAATAAATAAATAAATAAATAAATAAGGTTGATAGTAAGTCTTGCAAGCAGGACTTCTATTATTAGCGTGCTCCCGCTCCTGTTTCCTAGAAATGGGACCCAGAAGCCTCTAATACAGGGGTCCTCAAGCTCATCAGTTCACTGATGCCTTCAGTGTTCCTTAACACTCAGTTATTTTATGAAAATAATTTAATAAATACTACTTTAGTTAATAGAATTAAGAATTAAGTACTCTCACGTGACTGAGATGGGCGGCTATAGAAACTGAATAAACAAACAAATAAATAATAACAATTATAGGTGGTCCCATTTATCCTTGGGAGTCGATTGTGACCGCTTGCTGTAATGCCAAAGGTAGTGTGTAATATCATAGCAAGGCAGTTTTGTTACTGAAACAGTGTAATAATAAAACAATCACATTTAAAAGCACATTTTAATGGGACATGAGTGATTGCATAATTTTGCATCCTTCCTAAAGTCTGGGATTCTATTTTTAACATGACCACTGCCAATTTTCATATTCATTCTGGATCAATATTTCTGCCTTATAACAGGAGTTAAAGTAAATTCTGATTGTCTTGTTAGCATATTGTGAGCAAGTTCTGACATCAATGCTACTTTGTATGCAAAAGTATCCCCCAATTTGTGATTCCCCTTAGGTTTGCTCACAAAGTCCTGAAAAGCGGAAGGGGTCACATCCTTCAGCTTCATAATTTCTGCATTAAGAGAATTTGATTGAGATCAGCGGAACATATATAAACATGCTAAATTCAAGGGGCATACCAAAACAATTTTCTTTGATAACTTTTTCCTCAAATTTTGAATAAAGGGTATTATTCTGCAACTGGAAAATTATATTTTTTTAGGACGAAAGGGACTGGAAAATACATTTTTAAAAGTCCATGTAAAAACTCTAGATTGCTAACAGAAGAATACTGGCTGAATACATAGACATTTTCTACAGATTCAGTGGAAATATGAATTATATTAAAAAAAATAATCCTAAGCAATCAAACTAAAACAAAAAAAGTTAGGGGAATTATTTTAAAATTTAAATATAAAAAACTGGGGAGGAATTTCCTAGAAGAAATAAAAGTGAATATGGAAAAATCCTACAAATCCATCAACTATGGAATAATAGAGAGTGACATTTACCAGCTGGCATCAAGGTACATGCAAATAAGCAGAAACAAGAAGGTTATATTTTATATTAAGGGGAAAAAACCATGTTTTCTTTATAGCAGCACATTCTTAAAAAAAAAAAACCTTGAACTCAAAATGAATACTCTCCAAAAGGCAGATTAATTAGAAAATAATTATCTGCCTCCTTTACTATATTCTCAGTGAAGCTAAGATTCTCCAATTTTAAAAGTAAATTATCTAGGGAGAAAGGCAGATAAATCGTTAAAGCAGGTTTTTTTTTAAATGAAAATATTTAGGAGGCAAAGACTTCCTTTTCTGAATTCCAAAGATGTCTTTAGCTTAAATGTTTCTTACGGTGCACTTTTTAAATATTTAGTTCAGGTTTTCTACAAGAGATGAGAATAGGATAGCATTATTTGGACAGGTGATTCCTTACTTGCATATTTCTTAACAGTTGGAAGATTTCCATAGTGCGGAATACAATGTCTTGCACAGTCTCTTGACCAATGCGACACAACGAAGCTGTGTTCACTTCTCGTGCAGCCTGACCCTGAGGCCCAGAAAATGGACCAGAAGGCAATCCTGGCCCTGCTAAAGGCGGTGTAGACATCCTGAAGTGCAAGAGAATCAAACTATAAATTAAACTATAAATAGGAAAATGGAGTCAAAGAGTATACAAATCTGTTGGATACAATTAGCATAGGCTCAGCTACAGCACCTTCTTCTCCACTCACAATTACCCAAAATGCATCTTTAATATATTAATACTTTGCTATTGACATATTGAAGTTAAATTAAATTTGGGCCCTCTGTCTACAAATTAATATCATACTCAAAACCTTACATTTCTCAGAAGAGGCAGAAGAATTCATTTAGGGCACATCACTGCTCAGTGCACAAGACCAAATTAAAGACTCCTTGATAGAGAGGGGTCTAGCTTCTGCTTAAACATTCAGATGAGTCCTCTTTATACATTGCTTTTGTTTCTGATTTAGAAAGCTCTTTCTTTTTCTCTAGGCCACTTTTCCATAGGTCCCTTTTGCATATCCTAGCTTGGAACAGTAATCTATCTTTGCCCTTTCCTATATAAACCAACTGCTGGACTAGGCTGCTTGAAGACCCAAAGCCAATTCAGAAGAAGCAACACCTTTTCGTTTTGAAGGTTTTGGGAGCTGACTTTCCAGAACGTCTTGTTTCCTAAAGCATCTGCTTTGTTTGAAACCTATTCTTGAATCTGCTTCCTTTATATCCCTATACACCCAGGGCTGAAAGGGACCTTGAAGGACTTCTAGTCCACCCCCACCCCTTCCGCCCGCCTTATTCAGGGCAGGAATCTTCCATTCTGGAGAAATGGCTTTCCAGGCTGGAGCACCCACAATTTCAGGCGGCATTCCCAGGACAAAATACTTAGACAGGACCCTTAATTTGCTCTCAGCTCCAAAGGGACAGAACCCTGAAACATCTCTGTTCAAGTCTAGCAGTTTCCTTAAAAAAAAGAAAAGAAAACCAAATTCCCAGAAATGAAATCAGCAATCTTTTGGAGCAGCCTGCCAAACACCCCCGACCTCAGGCACAAAACGGGTCTTTATAACATTTGTATCATTTATAATCTCAGCCTTCCTTCACTCGACAACTTGCAGGGACACTGGACTACGGGGCCCATCATTCCCAGCCACTGAACTGGGGTTGGTAAAGGATGTAGCCCAACTGTCTCTGGAGGGGCTCGGGAGAGAAAGAAGGCGATAGCCACGATGGTACCTAGCGGTCGTTGTTACACTAACGCCAGCCTTTTATGTCCCGTCCAGGGCGGTCGACTCTCCCCGACGGCGTCGATCTCCTCCCAGCGCGCAAACCGGCGCTGGACGTCGAACGGCGGGACGTGATGACGTCACGCAGTACGGACTCGGAGCTATGGATGCCTTCTGTGAATCGGCAGGGCGCAGCCATTTTTTTCCGCCCCGTACAGGCACTCCTTCTCAGACCTCCGCCCTCCTCAGAAGAAAATGGCCCGCGCGATCCGCCTCCGTTACTTTCCTGCGTGTTTCAATTGTGTTTTGATCGGGAGGACTACATTCCCCATTGTCTCCAGCCAATATAATGTAAACGGTTTGCCTTTCTTCTTTTTTCCCCCGTCTCCTGTGTGGCCGGTTCTCCCTCCATGGCCAAGAATAGCGCAAAATCAAGAGGAAAAAAAATACCTTTTTTTTTTTTTGTTCAATAGCTTCTATGTAAAATGCAGGGTTTTTAGAGGCTGGATTAGAAGCTGAAAAACGGGGGGGGGGGAGATTATAAAGCAGGTTTAATGCTGGTTGCCTTTAATTCACTGCTTTTCAACTCCAGGTGCTTTAAGATGGGTGGATTTCAGCTCCCAGAATTCCCCAGCCAGGCCGACTAGGAACTTCTGGGAATTGAAGTCCACCCATCTTAAAGCCCCTGGAGTTGAGAAATATTACTTTAACTGATGGTCATATACTGAATGAGATGCATTAAAGGTTCCAGATAGGAGATGAATTCGAGTCCATTTAGTTGAAGAGATAGCACAGTTTTAAGATATACTCAGGATGGGATGAAAAATATTTGAAGAAGGTACATTCTTTTAGTTGGTTGAGACAAGAAATGTATTGCCTTGCATTCTGTGAAGCACAATACAATAGAATTGTTGGAAGTCAGTACCCACCCACCATCCTAGAGAAGGAAATATTTGGGGGAATATTTTAAAAAAAGGCAGAATATTATATTTTCCCAAAGTAATACTGGTAATAGAAAAATCTTAGACAGAAACCAGCCCCAAGTTTCCATGCCCCAGATAGAAACTCAGGAAATCACCTTTTAGAAATGCAGATTCAGTAATTTATTCAGAAAGATTGAGGCCCTATTCATGAGCAAACAAATACTACAGGGCAGAAGTCCATTCAAGACAAAATATTTTGAAATCCTTTGCAGCAAGATTTGACAGCTGACAATAGCAGAATGATAAGATTAGATCCAGCAACCCCTCATCCCAAGAAATCCAACACACGACTTAGCCATCAGCCACAATAGAAATTGCCCAACACTCTTAGAACACAAAAGCCCACCTCAATGCACATCCCCCTGGAGCATTCCAAAAACAACCCAAAAGAATGTATAAAAACCCACCTATCCCAATCCCATTTGGTCAGCTGCCTTAGAATCACATGGTGTTGTGGTTCTACAACTCAATAAACTGGACCTTCTTTCCTAAAGCAGTCTCTGTTTTCTTATTCTCGGCTTGGACTGGACCTGATTTTTCTTTCAACGTAACAGTGAAATCGCTTGCCTTCAGAAGTTGTGGTTGCTCCAACACTGAAGGCTTTCAAAAAGAGATTGGACAACCATTTGTCTGGAATGGTAGAAGGTCCAGGGTGTTGGACTAGGACCTCCAAGGTGCCTTCCAACTCTGTTATTCTATGTTCTATGTTTAAACGCAGGAATTATGTCTACTATATTCACTGTGTTTTGCAATAAGTATTATGAAATGATTTTCTTTAAAACTCTGCTTGAATGCATGTGATATATATTGCTTTTAGGTTTCTCTTTCTCATTTTTTCTCCGCTCCTCCTTTTTGTATATTGAGGGAATTAATTAAAAAAAAAAGACTTATGAAAGAGTAGGAACTAATGTAAGTCCAGATTGAAATACTTGGAAGTATATATATATGACCAATGGCTGGAGATTCAATGAACAGGCAGAGCTCCAGAGACTGTCTTTGTTCCCCAGTACCTCTTAATAATTTTGGTGGAATGATAGACAGAGAGATAGACTGAGAGACTGGTAGATAGATGGATAATAGACCGATAGATTGATAGATGATTGAAAGATACATAGATTTTATATAGACAGAGAGACAAATAGATTATAGAAAATGGAAGATACAAGATAGATAGATAGATAGATAGATAGATAGATAGATAGATAGATAGATAGATAGATAGATAGACAGACAGACAGACAGACAGACAGACAGACAGACAGATGAGAGAGAGGGGGAGAGAGAAAGAAGTCAGGCATATATAAATGTAACATGAATAAAAGCTTAACAGTGATCTGCTCAACCTGTCTGATGTAGCTGGGAAACTGGGCCCTGCTGAAGCTTGCACATTTGTCATTGTCAGAGGCAGAGGTGCTTGAAGAAATACAGCATATAATTAGCAATCCGAGCTAGGATCCACTTCTGCAGCTAAGAATAAACAACGCTAACAAGCAAAGCAACAGGAGCATCAGGTGCCAATAACTACCTCATGGGCAGTTGGTATCACACCAATGCTTGCATTTTGCTATTGATGATGTTTTGCTTAACTCGAATGAGTCAGATGAAGTCTCTGGCTGGAATGACCAAATTCAAGGAGTTTGTCACTAACATGATGTAGACGATATAATCTTGTATGTGTATCCTGGGAATCAATTTTAGTTCCCATCCATCCTTTTTAAAGGATAATGCATTGTTTATGCTCCATATTTTTTTAAAAGGTATATTTTTGGTACCTTTAGTACCTTCAAATAGCTGTCCAATACATTCTGCTCCAACTAAAAGCCTTCCACGTGTGCTGTTTATTTATTATTTCTATTTACATCCCTGGTTTGTGTGCATAGGACATCCTCAAACACCTTGCTAGGGATGATGGAGTTTCAAGTCTAATTGAACTGAAGAAGTTCAAGATAACCCGGAGAAGGAGAGGTTTCTTTCTTTTTCTTTTTTTAAAGAAATTTCTCTTAAAAGGATAATAATTTCCAGAAAAATGGAGGATAGATTTTAGCACAAGATTAATTCATGACAGATACAAAGCCTTTCCTATTGAATTATCATTGTTGAAAACCATGAGGGCATGCCAAATTTGAGTTACAATATTAAAACCTTGCTGTCTAGAATAATTTATCACTCATAAACCCTGCAAAAGGCTTAATTTCTAGGTAATTCTTGAGCAGTTCTCAATGTGCATATCTAGAAATAGGGAACACTACTTTTTACCTGTGGCGCGTTTCCTGGGTAAAGATCTCATATTATTATAACATTAAAAAGAATCTATAAATATCCAAAGGATTTAAAAACATAGCTGCAAAACTTTTTTTTTTACTGTCTTGCTTTAGAAAACCAAAGTCCTGATCTTGAAAGCAAGCTTGCAAGTAAAAGTTGTTATGTCCTGTTGTTACTTCTGCAGGAGAGATAAAATACCGTATTTTTAAATGACACAAAAATGACAGGAGTAGCCAACACCCCAGAAGTCAAACTCAGGATCCAAAAAGAAACTTGAACAATGAGCCCTATCCAACAAAATGAGCCTCAATGTGGAGAAAAGCAAAGTCTTATAGTTAGGCAGAAAAAATTGACGATCCTAATCGTCCTAATTGACGATCACTTGACTATGAGCCAGCAGTGTGCAGCAGCAACCAAAAAAGCTAATACAATCCTTGGTTGTATAAACAGAAGCATAGAATCAAGATCACGCAAAGTATTAGTACCAGTTTATAAAACCCTAGTAAGATCACACCTGGAATACTGCAGCCAATGTTGGTCACCATATCACAAAAAAGATGTTGAAAGTTTGGAAAAAAATTCAGAGAAGAGCAACTAAAACATATGAAGAAGAGCTGTGGGACTTGGGTTTGGCTAGTCTAAAGAAAAGAAGAAATAGGGAGATATGATAGCAGTATTCCAGTATTTGAGGGTCTGCCACAAAGAAGGTGGGGTCATGTTATTCACCAAAGCACCAGAGGGAAAGACAAGAAACTATGGTTGGAAACTGATCAAAGAGAGAAGCAACTTGGAATTAAGGAGAAACTTCCTGACAGTGAGGACAGTTAACCAGTGGAACAGCTTGCCTCCAGAAATCGTGGATGGTCCATCACTGGAGATTTTTAAGAAGAGACTAGACAGTCACTTGTCTGAGATAGTATAGGTTCTCTTGCTTGAGCAGGGGGCTGGACTAGAAGACCTTCACGGTCCCTTCCAGCTCTATTCTATTCTCTATTCTCTAAATTCAGCTGGAATGCTTGGAGGTCTTGGATACTGGGTGTCTTGCATTCTTGCCAAATGATTGTTTACATTCAAAACTGAAAATATATTTGATCTGTGTGTCATGGCTGTTTGGAAAATAAGGGGATATTATAAGGTATTCTCACAAAGCAAGTGCCCTTAGTCCTTGAAAGAAGAAGGTGGGGGTATCAAACCAGAACTTTTAGCTCTGGGGACTACACAGCCTGCTTTCAAAGATTTGCCCAAAGCAAGATAATAAATCTCTCTCTACAACTGTCAGCCGGTATTCAATAGCTAATGGCGGAAGAGTCAGGGATGAATCTTGTACAGATATCAAAGGCCTAATAATGAAGATCAGCTGCTACAAGATATAGCAACCAAGCTTGTTAAAATATATCAGGTCCTGGATGGAAATCTTCTATCTCTTATCTTACCAAAATCAGACTTCTGGCTTCTGGCTTGATCTTGGATGTGGAGGATACCTGAATTATTTGCCTTAAGCCATTCTTGCTTTTATTGAGTTGTAAGCTGCCCAGAATTGCTTCAATAGTGAAACAGGTAGCAAATAAATTTAATAAATAAATATCAAGAGTAATGGGAGATCCAGGGTAGCATAGGGGCTAGGAAGTTGTTGTAGTAAAGGGATGGTAGAACCTGGGGTGACGTGAAAAGAGGGATCAGCCTAGAATCCCTACATAGCCACAAGGGAACTAAATTCAACCCCCTCCTTGAGTGCTATTGACCCATATCTAACTCTAAGCAGGGTGCCAACAATTAGTTGAGAAAATTCCTATGCATAGACTTTTAGCAGTAATCAGTTTACTTGAACCTTAACGTGTTGACTTGGTCTTTCGTGCCAGACAGTTGGACTGGAACTAAGCAGGCCTGAGTTCAAATATGCGCATGTCTATGAATCTGACTGGCTGACCACTTTAGGCCTTTCAGTATCTCTCAGCCCAAAATAACTCAGAATTGTGAGTTGTTTCATGGATAAAACAAGACGTAATGCCTATGTGCTCTATCTAGACATCCAAAAAAAAAGAAATGAAAAAGTTGTAACCATAAATATTTGTGATACCAGAAGAAACAGCCTTGGCAGCTTCAGCCTTCACATCTACTCTGAAAGATGCTAAAATATCTCATATCTTGATTGGATTGGTGTCTGGTTTTCCTTGCCCGATAGCACTACACCTTGACCTCAATTCGATCCTTTTTTCATTATTTGGAAACAAGGAACATTTAGGGAGGGGAGCAAAGGTGGAAGTAACCAGTTCTATCCTTGGGATTTTAGAAAGGCAGATATTAATCAACTCAAGCAAAAGGTGGGCCACTGTCACGGCTAGAAATTTTAAATAATACAGATAGTCCTTGACTTAACAACCATAATGGAGCCCAAAATTTCTGTTTCTAAGTGAGACAGTTCTTCAGTGAGTTTTGCCCCATTTTACAACCTTGCTTGCCATACTTATTAAGTAAATCACTGCAGTTGTTAAGTTAGTAACATGGTTGTTAAGTGAATTTGGCTTCATTTGCTTGTCAGAAAGTCTTGCTTGTCAGAAAATCACAAAAAGTGATTCCATGACCCTGGGATGCTGCAACCATCATAAATATGAGTCAGCTGCCAAGCATCTGAATTTTGATCACGTGACCATGGACATGTTACAATGGTCATAAGTAGGAAAATGGACATGTCACTTTTTTCAGTGCTATTTTAACTTCGAGGACTACCTGTAATGAAGTCACAGAGGGTGAAAAAATCCTGAGAAATGAGATACTGGAAGCACAGGGACGAGCAATTTCTATGAAAAGGAAAAATATAAGAGGGGTTAGATTTTAAAGAACCTGTAGAGATGAACACTGTTTGAGAAGCTGAGAAGGAAAAAGGAATTTTGCAGAAAATGGAAGCACACTTAGCTTATTATTAAGGAAGAATGTGAACTAGTGCTTTGAGCCTATATGGGCACAGGGCAGGAAGGCTAATACTCAGAGTAAGATGAGACTGGCAAAGAATACAAAATGTAATAAGAATCAGGGCTCAGGATATGACTCAAATAGGGAGACTGTTGCCTATCTCAGGGGAAGTAATTAAGGGGAATATGAGAAGGCAATACTATTTAAAATATTCTTGAAAGACTGCACCCAGTTCTGGTCACCATGATACAAAAAAGATGCTGAGACCCTAATAAAAACAATGCAGAGAAAAGAAGCAAAGTTGGTAAGTGGTCTGGAAGC